AAAGAGGGAGGAACAATTTTTGGAGCAGAGAATGCCTCAATTGGGCAGCAGGGGGTTACTGGGTGCCTTTTCTAGTTGAAGCACAGACAGGAGTTTTGAAAAGGATTCAAAGCACAATTTAACCTTTTAAAATGTGCATTTTTGTATTAAATAACTATAATTTAAGAAGTACAAATACTGCATTTGAGAAGTTTATTTTAAAATTTATTTTTTAAATGGCTCTGCATTTGCTTAATATACTGCATTTGTTAATGCTCTTCCAAAGTACAGCTTCTAGAAAGCAAAGATATCCTGCTAATAACAGCCATTTTGTCAAGAATGACAGCATGTCATTATTTTACTTACAAAACAAGATGATATAACACCAAGTTATAAGGATGAAGCACAAATTATATTTCACAAAAAATATAACTTTTATTTCATTTGGGAACATAATTATAGTATATCATATCTTCTCAAATTTCACAGAAATGCCCTAAGTAATTAGGCTCTATAGACACCAAGAATTTGAAAGCGTTATTACTTTTTTTTTCCTGTTGCAGTTTTACATACAGAAAAGTATTTACAATTTAATAGCATTGAAAACTTCTGTTTAATATACTTATTTAACATAGTTCACTTAGTGATTCAGGTTGTACTGGCTGAAGTCTGGAAGCTACTCACATGGGCCTAGTATTTTAGAATTTGATTGTCTTGTTTCCTAGATCATAATGATACCATCTTTTGGCTTTCTTTGCTGAACTTTCAGAAGACCTGTTCTATAAAATATTTTACTTCACTTATTTTAGCTTCCCTCCATAATTGCTAGGGTGGAATAACATTCTAATAGCTTTAACAACTGTGAAGTTTATGCTATTTCTGTTTTGTACATCAGGCTGCAAAGAAGCTCCACCCAGCAAGAGTTTTCTTTAGACTAAGGATAGGGTGCTTTGCCAGGAGTAAGGCAAGAACTGTGGTTAATAGGCAAAAGGTTAAGGATGTAGGTGCCTTGGAGTAAGCAATATAATTTTCAAATTGGTGAGAAGGAACCAAAACTCACAATGGGCAAAGGGATTGCAAAAAAATATCCATCTGCTCTGAATTAGTTTAGGTCTCTTGATGTGGATGAGTTATATTCCTTTGAATGGGATTGCAGAACCACTCTAGGTGATCTTTGAGGATACACAGAGAGTAAGAGGATAACATACAAATGCTATTCAATGTATAAAACAACCATAAGCTATAACCAGTGAACTCAATTTCAATTTCAGGCAGGATTCCAAATATACTATCAAAGGGTGATTTTTGAGGATGTATTAGAGAACTAATAAAATTGGGCCAATTTTATGTTCATTAAGAGAACCAGAAGGTAGACTTTGCTCTATTTCATTTTGTGTAGAGTTACTAGATCCAGGGACAGTAGCAGGCATTAAATATATGGACCTTTTGAAGGCATTTGACAAATTTTGTCAATATTCTTGAAGATAATAAGAATACATATAGGCTGCTTACAAAGATAATTGGGTAATTGAATAACAAGTTGAAGAGTTATACCCAAAATATGCTGAGTAATGGGTCAGCATCAACCATGGAGATAGATATGATGTGGACTTCTATCCTCAACTTGGTCATAGTCAACATTTTTTATCCATGAATTCTAGAGTTACTAGGTCCAGGAACTGGAGTAGCCACAGAATATATGGACTTTATGAAGGCATATGACAAATTTTGTCATAATATTCCTGAAGACAATATGAATAAATGTAGGCTGGTTGCAAAGATAATTGGGTAGTTAGCCCTAAAGGTTTCCTAAATGTCTGTGTCTTCAACACTTACAGGCCTATTTGGATCATTCCCAGCTTAGGGCTTAGTTCTTCTGGGTGTGATGTCCAATCCTCTTCCACCTGCCAGCCCTGGGTAGGGTGGGTGAACGGAGGGCGTTTAGTCACATTACCACATAGAACAGCCAGGACTGTGGAAGGTAGATCTGTAAGAAAGCTGGAAAGGAGTGGATTGGTATATTCAGTATAACGAGACATGGTTTTGCACTGCAGTATTTTTAAATAAGGGCTTTATTTAACATAAAAGACAGATAAAGAATATAATCTATACTAATAAAAGGGTAATATGCTAATTAGACCGGACTTCCTTCCAGACAAAGCCATGGTGGTGGGGCCAAGGCAGAGGCAGTTAGGGGTGATCAGGCCAGCAGGGGAGAGCAGTTAGGGGGATCAGGTTGGTGGGGGAGACCATTTAGGGGCATCAGGCTGGCAGGGGAGGCAGTTAGGGGAATCAGACTGGCAGGGGAGAGCAGTTAGGGGGATCAGGCTGGCAGGCAGGCAAGCTGTTAAGAGCCAGTGGTCCCAGATTGCGAGAAGGATGGCCGACTGCCGGTTTAGGCCCAATCCCACAGGAATCGGGCCTAAACCGGCAGTCGGACATCCCCCGAGGGGTCCCGTATTAGAGAGGGTGCAGGCCAGGCTGAGGGACACCTCCCCTCCTGTGCATGAATTTTGTGCACTGGGCCTCTAGTAGTAACATAATTGCTAAAAATATAAGAGATCACTATAATCTAGGGTTGCATTAGAAGATATTATTAATGATACTACTAATGAGATATTGGAAAGAAGGAAGTTTGAGTACTCTCTTATTCTGCTTCAGTGAGACAAGCCACTCTGAAGTAGGCACTTCTGGGTACCATACTTGAAACAGATGTAGAACCCAGGAACAAGTTCAGAGAAAAATATCTAGAATGTGAAAGAAATTAAAAACCATGTCGTAATGGAAACAGCTGTAGGAATTGGAAGTTGACCTGGGAAAACAAGATAGGGAATGTTCCTTATAGCTGTCTTCTAATATAAGAAAGAGGCCTGTGGTTGTTCCACATGGTTACTAGGAGGTTTAGGGCCAGTGGACACTCTAGGCAGGCAGATTTGGGGTCAGCATGAGAAAATTTCCTGACAGACAAACCGTCAGAAGATGCAACAAGCTGCTTTACAATGTAGTTTTCCATCATCTGGGGTATTGAAAACTTATCTAGGTAGGAGCAGACTCAGTGAACGCATCCAGGGCTTGAACCAGGTTATCTTTATGGTTTTTTCAAACCTGTTCTTTTCTAAATCTACACTTTTGGTATCAGTGGCAGTTAGATGATTGATGAAGTCATTAATTGGTTTTCTTCAGTATTATATTTTGGGGTGGCATTGATTAATAAGCTTATATAGGTTTCAAATGTACAATTCTATGATATATCATCTGTATATTACACTGTGTGCCCACCACCCAAAGTCAAATAATCTTCCATCACCATATATTTTACCCCCTTGAACCTTGACTAGTCCCCCAGCCCCCTTCCTTCTGGTAACCACCATACTGTTATCTGTGTCTATGAGTTTTTGTTTGTTTGTTTTTCTTGTTTGTTCATTTGTTGCTTTCAGTTTTATATCTCACACATGAGTGAAATTATATGGTTCTTAACTTTTTCTGACTTAGGTCACTTAACACGATATTCTCAAGATCCATCCATGTTATTGCAAATGGCAGCATTTCATCTTTTCTTAAGGCTGAATAGTATTCCATTGTGTATCGGAGGATACTTCAGTTGTTTCCCTGTCTTGGCTACTGTGACTAATGCTGCAATAAACATAGGGGCTCATCTATCTTTATGAATAAGTGTTTTCAATTTTTTTGGGTAGATAGCTATACTCTTAATTTTTTGAGGAGCCTCCATACTGTTTTCCATATCTGTACCAATTTACATTCCCACCAGCAGTGAATGAGAGTTCTTTTTACTCCACAATCTCTCCAACACTTGTTATTACTTGTTCTTGTTGATAATAACCATTCTAACATTTGACATTTTTATTATTAAAGTTTAAATGTGCAAAATTTTACTGTATAAAAATTTATTATTAGTTTGTTTTAACCTAGTCTTGTGTAATAGCATTGATAAGCAGATAAGGTGGCCTCACTCTTGGTTACAGGAGTCATTTCTACAGTCTTGAGGGAGGTTAATTAGGAGTAAGTACTTTTCTTATAACCCAAGTGTTGTTCTCTTTTTAGTGCCCTGGAGCAAATATTTAATGAAGCTGTCTCTTTTCCTTTGTGAATAGCAAGACAAGTAAAGGCTACTTGAAAATATTTATGTACTTGAGACAGAAAAAATAATTACCTCTCTTTTGACTTTACTAAAATTCTAGTTTTCACCTCCCCAATGTTGTCCAGAGATATGTGGACATTATATCTGAAGAGAGTAAGAGGATTTAGCTGACAACCACTTTGTAGATAAATATTATACAAATGGTTACAGACGTGGGTATTGGTTTTAAATAGACCTGAGTTTAATCCTCACGTCTCCACCTACCAGCTGGTTATAAACTTCAATAGTCTCCCGTTCCTTATCTATAAAATGAGTACAACCATAACTCCCTGAGGGGAAAGAACTAATTTAGGGAGAAGAGATTAGGTCCAAAGTATTTTTTCTTCTTTGTGGTTTTATGATAGAATGTAAAACTCTGCAAAAATCATAAAATGTTAACACTGAACAGGAACTGAGAGTTCATTTCTTTCAATGGCCTAATTTTATAAATGAGGAAAGTAAGATCGGAAAAAGCCAAGAGGCATCTCCAGAATCCTGGTGCAGTTGGCAGTGAAAGGCCAGTGCTTTCTTCCCACTCCATGGAAAACTCATCTTAAAACAAGAATTGTAACGATGTTTTCATCATTTTTGTTTTATTTTATGGAAAATATTTCAAGAGCAAGTCTTTCTTAGAGATACCATGGAAAAATAATTACTCTGAAGGATTCTTTTCTAATTCCAAGATTCTGTGTCAGAATCAATATCATGGCAATTTAAAAAATTTTATTCAGATATAAGCAATGTCATAATTATCACTCCATGTCATAGTACAGTATACATTTACTTCATTTGACAAGCATAGTTGCAATAACATCTTCTGTTGGACTTCATTTCTTCAGAATTTAAAAATACCATTTTAGTAAATGTATATTCTATTTTCTAGATGCCCCCTGAAGAAAAAGTTTGTAAGTACTGTGGAGTGAGCTATCTAATTCTTCATGAGTTTAAAGCTATGGAAGAAAAAGTGAAAGCGATGGAAAAAGAGATGAAATTTTATCAAGGAAGTGTAGAACGTGAAAAGAAACTTCAAGAAAAGCTACATTCTCTTAGCCAAGATTTTGAACAATACAAAATTGACAATGACTCCAAAACAGAAAGGTTGGAATATGTTATTCTTTTCTATTATTTATTTAGTTTGAAGAAAAGTACAGACAATAAATAGACTTTCAATGTTCTTCTAGAATTTCTCTGTATCAGGTATAATTTATACTTGAATACATGTTAGTTTTTTATTAATTATTAATATTTAATAAATATAATTATTATAGCTTGAGCATTCTTTTAGACATATATTTATTCTCAGAATGATTGGAAACCAATTAATTTAGTAGCCATAAGTTGAGATAGGTTAAGTTTTATTTTAGCCCCAGGTATATCTTAATTTTATCATTAGGAAGATTTGTCTGTCAAAAAATAGGTGAGTTTTGGCAGTTTCTGATGCCTAACCTTTGTTTTAAATGGCCTTGAATATTTAGATTTACAGGATAAGGTTTTTATGACTTGAAAAGGATGCCAGGACATTAAAATTGGCATGTAATTCTAAGTCACGGAAATTGGAAAAAAAATTAAATAATAGGTTCCTAACACTATCAAATCTAATCCATTTAGTCTGCCTCAAGACACTTCAATGAACTTGTACAGACACTTGTAAGAGAAGGTTTTTTTGCTGGAGTTTTATGGCTTTACCTTTTTCCCATGAATGAATATTTCTCCATTTAAAATATCAACAGTTGGTGTTAGTAAACCTTGAATTAATGAATTCAATGAATATCATCATGTCTTTACAAAAATAGAAACTTTCTTAAATCTCTTAGGATTAAGTACTTCTATTACATTTTATTACAAATTTTAATAATTACATTAAATGTCAATTGAGTCCAATATTTTGTAGTTCTTTACCAAGAAAATTTTGTTATAGTTTTTTAAATTTCAAATCTGAATAACAAAGTGTTTCATACTATTTGAGTGGAAAAAAAAAACTTGAAGTATTCAATTTAAAATTTGGTGGTTTTCTTGCCTGTCAGAGATTCTTTTGTTTGGTGTTTATTTACACTTTACTTTCTTTATGTGTTGTTTAAGTACATAAACACTTAAAGTAAAAGATGTATATGGGAGAAAAGGCAAGAAAGTCCCTTTTTATCCTGCTGATTGCTTTTTGCTGGAGATAAAACCACTTTTAATGATTTGGTGCATATTCTTCATTGTGCCTTTACCTTTATTATAGATACATTTATTTAATGTATGTAATATACACTGAGTGGCCAGATTATTATGACCACCCCATCAGTACTTAGTTGGGCCACTTTTTGCCTTCAATACTGTTGCGTTCTTCTTGGCATTGACTCCACGAGATGTTGAAAGGTGATGCGAGGAATCTGACACCATGCCTGATGAATAGCACTGTCCAGTTCTGTGAGATTTGATGGTTGTGGAACCAGCTGCCTGATGGCTCTTTTAATTTCGTCCCACAAATGCTCAATTGGATTGAGATCTGGTGATTGTGGGGGCCACCTAAGCAAGGTAAAATCTCCCTCATGTTCTTGAAACCACTCCTGCACAATACAAGCACCGTGGCATGGCGCATTGTCTTGTTGGAAGAAGCCATCTCCATTGGGATACGCCATCAACATGATAGCATGAACTTGATCAGCAACGATACTTAGGTATGTTGTGCTATTCAGACGTTTATAATGATCTGGCCCTCTAGCAACTTCAGCAGAAAATTAGAGCTAATTTGCCTACAAACATCAGGTGGTCATAATAATCTGGCCACTCAGTGTATATAAGCCATGTAGTTTTTAAAATGGTTATCATTAATAAATCAACAAACAACAAATTTGGCAGTGTGCAGAGAAAAGGGAACCCTCGTGCACTGTTGATGGGAATGCAAATTGGTGCAGCCTCTGAGGAAAGCAGTATGGAGTTACCTCAAAAAATTAAAAATAGAACTGCCTAATGGTCCAGTGATTTCACTTCTGGGAATTTATCTGAAGAAATCTGAAACACTAATTTGAAAGAATGTATGCACTCCTATGTTCATTGCAGTGTTATTTACAATAGCCAAGATTGGAAGCAACCCAAGTGCCCATCAGTAGGTGAGTGGGTAAAAAAGCTGTGGTACATTTACCTAATTGAATTCTTCTTGACCAGAAAAATAAGGCAATCTTACCCTTTGTGACAGCATGCATGGATCTGGAGAGCCTTATGCTAAATGAAATAAGCCAGTTAGAGAAAGACAAGTACCATATGACTTCACTCATATGTGGACTCTAAAGACAAAATAAGCTAACAAGCAAAATAGATACAGACTCATAGATAGAGGGCAGGCTGACAGCTATTAGGGATGTGGGGGCTGGGTGAAGAGGGTAGAGGGATCAAACAAAAAAGGAAAAAAAAATTGCCCTAATCCAGTGGTCGGCAAACTCATTAGTCAACAGAGCCAAATATCAACAGTACAACGATTGACATTTCTTTTGAGAGCCAAATTTTTTAAACTTAAACTATATAGGTAGGTACATTGTTATTAACTTAATTAGGGTACTCCTAAGGCTTAGGAAGAGCCACACTCAAGGGGCCAAAGAGCCGCATGTGGCTCGAGAGCCGCAGTTTGCCAACCACGGCCCTAGTTGGTTTGGCTCAGTGGATATAGCGTAGGCCTTTGGACTGAAGGGTCCCGGGTTCAATTCCTGTCAAAGGCACATACCTCAGTTGCAGGCTCCTCCCCGGCCCGAGCCCTGGTCAGGGCACGTGCAGGAGGCAACCAATCAATGTTTCTCTCACATCATTATTTCTCTCTGTCTTCCCTCTCGCTTTGACCCTTCCTAAAAATCAATGGAAAAATATCCTCAGGTGAGGATTTAAAAAATAAATAAATTCATTGACATAGACAACAGTATGGTGATTACCAGTGGGAAAGGGGGGTGGTAGAAAAAGGTATAGGGGGATAAACAGTGATGGAAGGAGACTTGCTTTGGGGTAGTGAACACACAGTACAGTGTACAGATGATGTGTTGTGGAATTGTGCACCTGAAACCTATATAATTTTGTTAACCAGTGTGAACCAATAAATTCAATAAAACACACACAAATGTGTATTGTTTAATCTCCAAGTATTTTGGGATTTCCCAGCTTTCTGTTTGATTTCTAGATTAATTCCGTTGTGGTCTCAGCAAAGACATTATATGTTTTTAATTTTTAAAAATCTGTTAAACTGTGTTTTATGGCCCAGAATGTGGTCTGCCTTGGTGAATGTTCCATGTGAGTATGAGAAGAATGTATATTCTGCTGCTGTTGGATGAAGTAGCCCATAGATGTCAATTAGATCAGTTGATTGCTGCTGCTGTTGTGTTCAAATATGTCCTTACTGATTTTCTGTCTAACGATTTTATCAGTTGCTAGGAGTACAATATTGGAAGTCCGCAACTCTAACTGTGGGCTTGTCTATTTCTCTTTGAGTTCTTTAATTTTTGCTTCACAATTTTGTAGCTCTGTTGTTTGGTGTGAACACATTTAGGATTGCTATGCCTTCCTGGTGGATGGATCCTTTTTTAGTCATATAATGCACTTGGTTTTCTCTGGTATTTTTCTTTGTTCTGAAGTCTACTTTATCTGATAATAATATAGCCATACTGCATATTTAATAAAATGTTTACATTGTATTTTTTCCATTTTTTTACTCTCAACTTAACCTCTGTCATTGAATTTGAAGTGAGTCTTGTAGATAGCATATTGTTGAATCATGGGTTTTTAAATCCACTCTGCCAGTCTCTTTTAATTGGTGTATTTAGACCATTCACATTTAAAGTAATTATTATTATTTTAACATATATTTTTATTGATTTCAGAGAGGAACGGAGAGGGAGAGATAGAAACATCAATGATGAGAGAGAATCATTGATCAGCTGCCTCCTACATGCCCCCTACTAGGGATTGGGTTGTGCCCTTGACCAGAATCAAACCCGGGACCCTTGGGTCTGCAGGCCATTGCTCTATCCACTGAGTCAAACTGGCTAGGGCTAGGTAATTATTGATATGCTTGGATTTAAGTATGCCATTTTATTATTTGTGTGTAGTTTGTTCTCTCTGGTTCTCTTCTTCTGTTTCTCTTTTCTTACCTTTATTTTGGTTTCTTGAACATTTTTAAGGTTATAGCTTGATTTCTTTATAGTGATTTTTAGTATATTGCTTTGTATAGGTTTCTTAGTGGTTGCAATACAGGTGCATAACATCATAGTCTGTGGTTTAATTATGATGTGTCTTGGCATGGATTTCTTTGGGTTTATCTTTTTGGATAGAATAGGATCTTTCCCAAAGATTGTTGAAACTATGTTTATAACTCTTGTCATATTTAGAGAGTTTTCAGCTATTAATTCTTTAAATATTATTTAGAGCTACTTCCTCTCTCTTTTTCTCAGATTCCTAACTTATGAATATTTGCTCTTTTGTTATTATCCCACAGGTCCATGAAACTCTGTTAATTATTATTTTTCTGTCTATTTTCTCTCTGTTGTTCAGACTGGGTGCATTCTGCTGATCTATCCTAAAGGTTGGTGATTCTCTCCTCTGTCATTATACTCAGCTATTGACCCATCCAGTGAGGTTTTTTCCCCTCAGTTACTGTGTTTTTCAGTTATATAACTTCTTCTTTTTTAAAAAAAATGTAACTTCTTTTTCTTTTTGAGGTTTTATTTCAAGAAAAATTTAATTACTTTTAAAAATAACTTTTGTGATGGCTGCCTTATAATCTTTGTTTGATAATTCCAACATCTGATTCATCTCAGTGTAGGGTCTGTTGATTGTCTTCTCTCATTAGTGTTATGATTTTCTTGGTTCTGGCATGATGATTGATTTTCCATTGAATCCTGTTTATTTTGGAGGTTATCCTATGAGACTTTGGATCCTATTGAATACATACATTTTTAGCAGGTACTCCCTCTGTTGAGGTATAGCATGATAGCCAGGTGGGTATGTTTTTTTCAGCTTCCTACTGTCCTACCAACACTGCCTTGTATCAGACTGGTGGAGTGAAGGTCACCTATTCCCCTTGGCCCCATTCACATCTTTCCAGCCAAAGTAGATCAGCAGCTTGCACTGCCTGT